CGTTATGGTTAAAAAATGCTCTCCATCCGAAGTAGCCTCCCTTTTGAGCGGAACCGCGTTCGCAGTGGGGTGTTGTGCATCAAAGCGACAGACAACGACGGTTTCGACTTTGATTCGGAGCAGCTGGAGGTCGAAGAAAATGGGGAACTTCGCATTGATGAGGCAGGTTGAGTCAGAGGACTCAAGCGGTGGGGAGGACGTTTTCTAAAAAGGCGGTGCTTAATGAGAAATTCGTAACTCGTTTAGGAGAAAGCTTACAATGCATAGACAATCGATGTAGAGGCAATGTCTAAGGTGTTCCCAGTACGTCTTGAGCGGAGGCGGAGCGCATCCGACGGCGTTTTTTTCAAGTCCTTATAAGTAGGTTCAGAGATAGTTCAAAGACCGTAAAAAGTTTACAGAGGTTAGAAAAGGAGAGGATGTTGGATGTTAATGATGGGCGACACCAGAGTAGGCGGAGTTAGTTACCAAATTTATAACCCGGTTTCAAGAAATTCAGGAAATCGAGAAAAAGTGGATAGAGTTCGGTGAAGCAAAGTAGGCCAATTGCTATTGGTCTACCGCAGCATGCACCAAAATCGGCGGGGTTTGCCATCAAACGTGTAATCCGGTTCGGAGCAGTTACGAGACTTGAGAAAAAGCGTGAGATGGTTGGCAAGAAAGAAACGGTCATGATATTGATGAGCGAGGCAAGTGCAGAAATATGTGTGGATGCCACAAAACATAATTCGGTCTAGTAACCGTCGAGAACGGAACAAAGTGGATAACGATTGAGGAAGGAGGAAAGTTCGAAAACCATCGAAAGGTGGGACTTGTATCGTGATGGGCGGAGCTTAAATCCTACTGTCCTAGGATAGCACAGACATCAAGAACAAAAAGGATTCCAGCTTGGAAGAGCAAGTCAAGTATTCATGGTGGATCGGGCTACAGTTACAAATTCTTACCGCGTCGTTTTATACTGCCATAGAATCGTCTTGTGCTCACATTAGCGTGCAGCGCCATCTGGTATTTAGGTTATTAATATCATTATTATAATATCATTATTTTTGTAGACTAATAAATAAAAATCCTACTTACTATAAAGCGCTTCGTCTGTCGTCTGTTCTGTATGTCTGTCACGAAATTCCCTAGCTCCTCGGGATCCGCCTGGAGGGACCGGGTCAAGTGTGGGATGGGTGGGCAAGGTCTCACGAAGTACAAAACACACATCAGCTAAGCGGAGCCCCGCCTCTAGTGCACCACCTTTTCCTCCCCCACCGGCCTCTGCAGCTTCATGACGCCCACAGAGTCTTGCCATTATACGCCGCACAGCAGTTCGTCCCACCCATCTGCCCAGTCTCGCCCCACCCCGATCGCACCATCCGCTCTGCCTCCACTCCTCCACCCACCTCTATCCACCTTTTCCCCAGCCTCCGGAGCTTCATGGAGCCGAGTTATAAATTTTCGTCGCAAACTCCGCCCACTTTGGTCAAGCCCCGCCCACCATTGATAGCTGGCCTCCACTCCTCCATACACCTCTCTCCCGTCTACCCATTTTCCCCGGCCTCCGGACTCTCTGGAGCCGGAGGTTTTGACATTAACACTCGCAGACTCGCTCCCGCTCATCTTTGGTCAGGCCCCGCCCACCAATGACAGTTAACCTCCACTCCTCCACCCACCTCTATCCACCTTTTCCCCCCGGCCTCCGGACTTCTTGGAGCCGAGTTATAAATTTTCGTCGCAAACTCCGCCCACTTTGGTCAAGGCCCGCCCACCGAATGACAATTAACCTCCACTCCTCCACCCACCTCTATCCACCTTTTCCCCGGCCTCCGGAGCTTCATGGAGCCGAGTTATGAATTTTCGTCGCAAACTCCGCCCACTTTGGCCAAGCTCCCGCCCACCAATGACAGTTGCCCTCCACTCTCTCCACAACAGCTCCTTCCGTCCACCCTTACCGGACTGCTAGTTTAAGACTTCCCCGACTCAGACTTTGGTCAAGCCCCCCCGCCCACCATTGACAGCTGGCCTCCACTCCTCCATACACCTCTATCCACCACCTTTTTCCGGCTCTTTAAGACTTCCCCGACCCGAATTATGAGGGCTTGTAGAAAATGCTGTACACTTCAGAGCGCGCCCCGCCCATTCTGGGCGGGCCTCCGCCCACGTCATGTATGCGGGAAACACCTTAGACATTGCTCCCTTACACCAAATTGTTTTCTGCTCTGTAGGCTTTCTCCCAACCGAGTTATGAAATTTTTCATAAAGCACTGCTTTTTTAGAGAACGCCCCGCCT